TGTTTCACCAACTATTTAACATTGACTTGTTTAAACATGTTGTCATATTTATGTAAGTTGTAAAAAGAGAAAATAAATATTTCTTGTTAAATTTCTACATAATTTGTTCTTTGAATGAAGCAGTATTCAGTTGGTTGTATATATTTCCCTACAAAATCATTTTATTGTAAATTAAAATTGTTGCAAAATATCGTTAGCCAAAAAAATAACGGGGACATTCAAATTTTACTTTTCTTTTTTCTTGACAAAATAACAAATAAGAAAAAGAAAGTGTATCCAAAAAGCATTACAATGCACTCCACGTGTTAGTGCACGTAGCGACACAACCCACGTACTAAATACAAACATCAAAGCCCAAAACCCTAAAGTGATATGGGTTGATGAGACAGATCTTCTTTAGAATTTTCTACTTTGACTAATTTACCCCTGTCTCTCATCAAAACAAAATGGGCCAATCAAGTAAATATAAAACATTGCACAAAATTATCATATTTCAATTTTATTTATTATAATTTATAGATGTTTTAAAAGACGTGAAGTATGATCGTGGCGGTAATGTGGAGTTTCATATTTTATGAATCATGACGAACCCACAATATTTTATAAAACGTTACCTTTTTATATGCCAACTTCTAATCACATATAAACATTTTCTATTTTAATTCAAATTTTCATATACATATTCTGACGTAAGACAATATTTTATAACGTGTGGCCGGAGACAAGCTTTGCTACCATGGCACGATTTGACGAATCCATGTCATATCTCTTAGAACATTACAAAATATCACTCATATTGTGAGAAATTAAGAATGACCTTGCGATATATTTCCATTTATATTTCCATTTTTTTATTGAAATAATCTATAAAACCTCTCAAAACGGAAGAAACATTTCTTGCAAGTTGTTATGACGACGACATGGAGGTTCATTTGGAGTTTGCACAATTCGATTAAGTTTGGTAGTAACAAGTTAAAAAAGAGGTGTTTGATAACATTTTTATCTTTTTTTTTATAGAAACGGCAAGATTTGTATACATTACCTTGTAATCGGTTTTGTTAATTGCGCTTTATATTCAGTTTAATTCGTCCCTTCAAAAAATAATTCGTGAATCTTTCCTAAAATTCTTAAATACCACAAAATCACTTTATTATTACAAACACACTGACTTTTTATTATTTACGTTTCACAAACAGCTCTTTTTTTTTTGAACGGCAAACAAGTAAAAATGCATTAAAGAAAGCCAGCAGGGAGCTGGGCGAAATCAGTACATACATAAAATGAAAGTAGGATGAAATTTTGAAGTGAGCTAGACTAGACAAACTAATGTTAAAGTGGAGATTTGTATTGTAAACCAAAACTCATGACTAAACTGAAATTCGCCAAATGAGAACGACTGTAACTTCAACCTTTGAATAAGGCCACACCAACAGGGTATTACGGGCAAAAATATATGTGCTTCAGTCCATGAATCTAGATCCTTCATGAGGGGAACGTTAGTCAGTAGTAAGCTCTGAGGTGCATATTAATACTCCTCTGGGAAAACGAGATGCGTCCAATTTTTTGGCAAACATATGTGAGGCTGTCTTCAAGAAGATTCTCCAAGTGAGCATATTCGGAAATATATGAAATTTATGTAGCATAAGCCAAGAAGTGTCCAGTTGAGAGACCCTGCGAAAGAAACAAACAGAAAGATAGAGAAAAACACACGTCAAATAAAATTTTGTACTAATTAGAAATGAAGTGTGGTGTGGTATATGTTACCACCCCTTTCCATTTCGTCATTTCTATTATTACAACACGGTGTCTATATCGTTATTAGCTCCCATTGCAGGGCTAGTATTATATAAATAAATAGATAATCCTTAATTGAATTACAATATATAATTTTTTATACCATAAGTCCATAATATTTCAATTTTAATTTTTTTTATGCTTGAAACATGCCATTCCATGATTGTTGATATAATTAAAGGGTCGCTCTAATAATTCATTTATTTGTTTAAGAATGCATACTTTGTGTACTAGGTGATTTTAATTATTAGAAAGTAATAAAGCACCTATTATAAAGTTTATATATATGACCCCAATTTCAACTTTGTGATAATCCATGTGTATATTTTTTATTTTAAAATGAACATCTCCATTTTGAAAGCAGACTTATTCGATTGTGGTCCATTAAGGTGTTGTTTGTTTTTTTTGAAAAACCTATTCAAACCACTTTCTGCTGCGCGGCGCAGCACACGCGCAACACTTTCCCTCTCGCAATAGTTTGTTTTTTGGAAGACTTCAGACTGCAAAACCTCTGCGTGTGTGCTGCGTGGCGCAGCACTTGACTTGCCTCTTTAAACCTCTTCAACTTTCAATTTTTTGAAGTTTTTTTTAGAATTTTGGTATAACTTATTTTTTTTAAACATTTAAAAAAAAACTTTTATTTACGGATTTAATACAATTTCTTATTATAGTTTTCACAAATTTTTTAACTTTATTTTAAAAAAAAAAAAAACTTTGATTTTTTTAATTTTTTTACCGTTTCCGTTAATAATATTTTCAGTTTCAGTTTTAGTTTCATCTTTTTTAACGTGTGTAATTTTTTACGAACTTTGTACACATCGTTTGCAATACTTTCTTAATTTTTTTTTCTTCTTTTCTTTTTTATGTTTTTTAAAATTAGTTTTTTTTTCTAGAATAAAGCTGTTAGCTTCTTTTATATTTTTGTAAGTTTTTTTTTTAAAGTTTTATATTTTTTGTTTTTTTACATGTTATTTTTAGTACTCTTTCAATGTTTTAAGACTATAATTATTAAAATTTCGGTGTTGAGAACTATTTTAAGTTTATAAAATTAGTTTATTTAAATTTCAGTTTACTGCAGCAGTCTGCAGATGTTAAAAAACAAACATGCTTCTTATTATGGGCTGCAGCCGTTTGTTCCACCTCTTCTGCTGCAGAGGATTGCAGAGGTGGTCCGCAGACTTCATGAATTTTCGCTTCGAAAAAACAAACAACACCTTAGTGAAGATACGGGTTCGATTTATCTTGCTTTGCAAATGACGTGTTGCTTATTCCTTCTGGTCATCCGTGATTGAAGAAGGCCCCGAGATTTTGAGTCATTTATGAGGAAAAGCTTACCATGCCAAGTATCACCAAGTGAGCAAATTGGTGATTGTTATACCATCCATATTAATGTAATTAAATAATCCCACTAAAGTTTTAATTGTCATACATTAGCTTTTATAATCAGTGTAACAAATACTTTATATTGATAAATATTAGATAAAGTAATTAAATAATTTACTAAATATAACTGATTAAAAATATAGTTAGATAGAATAAAATAATATTAGAAGGGTTAGAGTGGATGATTTGTAAAACCATTTGCAAATATTAAAAGGATTATGGCCACACGGGCAAGCCATATCATCCGCAAGCTAGGTCGATAGATAGCAAGCATTTTGAAAAGCGTTGTATGTTTTATAAATCATAAAGATAAAGATTAAATTATGGCGTATAGTATTGTCAGTTATCTTATTATCAGTATAATGCTATATATAGTATATGTTGGTGATTTTATTACCAAATATATTTTAGTGTAATGGACTTAACAAGTGTTTCAAGAATAATGTTTTAGTTATAATACAAGTTAGGAGGTGTGGGAGTGCACACTTGTATTTACTAAACATTGTTAGTACCGAACCCTAGAACAGTACAAGGACTAATCTGTTATTCTTTAAAGATGCAAATTCAAGGACTAATCGGTCATTCTTTAAAGATGTAAACTGTTCTCGTTTATCCGTTGAGTGGATAAGTCCGGGAAAAGGACGACTCTTTTTGAAAACACAGAAAATTGGAAACGTTTTCTTCTTCATCTTCTTCTCAAAATTGATTCTGTTATTTGTGCCTAAAATCAGAATTGTTACATCAAGAATTATCCCAGTTTGGATTTCGTGACACCCAAGGCATTTAGGGTCGAAATATCAAACAAGGAAAGTGTTTACACGATTCGTGTTTGTTATCCAGATTTCAATTACCTTATTTCGTTTAGATTCCCCTACAGTATATACTCGACTTTCTTAATTTGTTGAAATTGTTGCTTTTGGAAAATTTGTAGGGGAGAAAGGTATGCAAACTTCATATTCTTTGGGACACAGGAATAGGACCAAAATCTCCCATTTTCCATAAAGATTCTATCTCAAACGAAGTTATTTAATCTCTTTTGGAGTAAGTGATTTATGAATCCAAAATAATACTGTGCTATTAACCGAATGAAAACAAAGTATTATTATCCCATTAAAAAACAAAATATTGTTTTGATTATAAAATTTTAGCTTTGAAAAAAGTAAGTCAAGAAGATCCAAATCTCCCACTTTTTTTAATAAATTTATCAAGATTTTCTAAAGGGGAATTATTGGCACAATGCATGGCCAACATCCACCTTTGAAAGCGAGTCCTCGACATAGAAGTAGAAATTTGAAAATATAACTAGAATCCTATGAAAATAAAACCCTTTGACCCCACAACACCTAGCACAAACTTATGGCCTTCATATACCACTACAAAAAGAGTTATGATTGAAGTTTGTGCTTTTTGATCTTATTTCTAAATCTTTTTACTCTAAATTTTTAAATAATGTTTCACAAAATCCAAATTTACTTTCATTTAGGTGACTACTGAAATATTTTTATGCACTGACTGATGATATTCCACTTATATGGGATGTCTTTTCTCTAACCAAAAACCATCATTGCCACAGAACTTTTAGTTTTTCGGTTACCAACTCGAGTTATATTAACTTGTATTTTATGCAATAAAAATTGTATAACTATACGTATGGAAACAAATGGAAGAGAATGATTACTATAAATAGACATGCCTTCTCTCACTTGATCAACAATCCAACCATCTATCACGCTCAATTATTTCATGAAAACTCTCTTCTTTGCATTTCACTTTCTAGGGTTTAACACTCATCAAACACTAATCTTCTTGTTTTAACTTCAACCATGCCCAAAACCATTAATCCACCTCTACAGGAGAACAAGAAACCGTTCCATCAGAGGAACAGTTCAGACGAGATCAATGTCTTTGAAGCCTCCCGTTACTTTGAAGACACGAACACCACCCTCTCTCATAAGAATTACATGAGAGAGAGTGTTGGAAGACTGAGTCTTGATATCCAGAACAATAGAAGAAACTCCAATATTCCTTTACAAGCCATGATGATGGAGAACGGAAGAAACTCGATACCTTTAAAAGCTATGATGATGGATCCGAACCATATGATGATCAAGAATGAGAAGAAGTATAAGCAACCAAGCTCACCAGGAGGGAAGTTGGCTCATTTCTTGAATTCCCTTTTCAACCAAACATCTTCCAAGAAGTCCAAGTCGAAGTCAAAGTCAACCACATCGACACAATCTATTAAAGATGAAAATGAGAGTCCTAGTGGATGGAGAAGAAAGAGGAGGAGTAGCATCAGCCTATTCAGGAGTGGGAATAGTAATACCAGCAATATTGCAAGTGAAACAAAACCTGCTAATTACTCAACAACACCACATGCATATGATGATCACATGCCACAGGCACCCACAAAGAGGACAAGCTATAAAGATCTCAGAAGCTATTCAGACCACAAGCCTACATATGAAGTTACCAAAGTACCCTTTAATGAAAACTACAACAAGAATGAAAACCTCAAGATCAAGAGTGGGTTTTCTGACAGAAAAAGAAGTCCTGAAAATGTGTCAGTAGAGAAAGTTAGGGTTTGTGATGTAAAACATGATGATCATAATCAGAAGTATGATCCGACGGTGGAGATTAAAGAATTCAAGAGATTCATTCTTGATGATGATGGAGATAGTGATTCAAGCTCTGATCTTTTTGAGTTAACAAACTGTGATTTGGGTTATTATTCAAGCGGTTTGCCAGTTTTTGAAACCACCCATATGGATAGCATCAAGAGGGGTACACCGATCTCTAGCTAACCTATATAGAAGTCGAAGGTAAATTAAACCTTCATAAGTGAGAACTTAAAATCAAGGTGCTACATTTTTAAGTTAATATTTCATAGATAGTTTTTTTTAAGTTTTCAATTATGATTTCGTTTTTGTTTCTTAATTATTGATCATGAATTATTTTGTTTGGATATTCACTGAGCAAAAGAAAATTCAAAGAGGAATGTCTTCATTTTAGTTTTAGCAATTCAAAAGTTCGATCCCATTATTTTATTCAATGTAGAGTTAATTATACATTTGAGCGATCATATATATGTTATACCGTTATATAATGCTTTGGTTTTGTATCAAAATTTTCCATCTGTTTTGTTTTAGTGGTTCTATTTAATTTTGGCTTTGGTCGATTATGTTATCCATAATTTTATTAAATTTTTTATTTGTTATTTTTTATATTAATATACGGGTCACACCAACCTACCCCAGTACCCCACCCCACCCCTCCCCTCCTTCACGCCAACTGCCTCACCCCACTCTATCTAAAGCTAAAGCTAGCCTAGTATCACTTTCTATTCACACACATGAGCATATATAGTCCCCCCTTCTTTAAGAAACGACCCCTCTCAACATTTAATTATTCCTCTCTACTTTTACTCTCTCTGTCCGGCTCTTTCTCTCTTAAAAGATTTGAAGCAATGATCCTCAAAAGTGGGTTGTCTTTAAAAAAATCGATTATAGGGTGTTGATCCTTGAAATGTCAATGCTACAATCTAGGGCCCTTCCCCAGATGGTATAAGCAATGTGTTTACTGATGAAACTTGTGCGGATCCAGATCTGTCAGTAAAATATTGTTGGTAATGTTTAGGCGCCTTGGTGCACATGATACCGCACACGGTGGTGTGTGAGGTGGCACTGCAGTGTGCAGTAAACACCACACTGATCCCCTTACTCCACTGCGGTAAGCTTGTCGTGTGTTATGGTTTCACCACACAGTATAACCCTCAAAGGTTGTACTTTGTGTATAATGTGTATTGTGTGGGTGTGGTATGACACTCATCAGTTTTGTAGAGTGAGGAAAAAATAAAATAACAATGCAAAAATGTAGTATATATGGGGTATGACACCCATCAACCTTATTATACTAATTAATTTCTGACATATTTTTACGTGTGTAATTAGTAATGGATTATTGACACACTTTGGTAGCTGTGGACAAAAATACCAATGGAACATATTTGTAACTGATTGATACTAATTATGGAGTTTATTTCCATCGTTAGACCGTCGGTAAAAAGCAATATAAAAATCATTTTAAATTTCATAAGAATCCATAACTTTTTAATTTTTATATATTAAAGCACAAAAATCTAAAACAATATATACAAAATATCCAGATTTTAAAACCAATAAACCTAAAACTAAGAAGCTCAAAAACATTTTCGACAAACTTTAAACAAAAATCCATAAATTTCACGCATTCCACAAAACAATAAACATAATACTAAAAGGTTTCATATTCCACAAACACAAAACTATTATGAAGAGTCGTATGGTTTACCGTTTTGGGTGAATTGCTTCACAAGTCCAAACATTTTTCCATGGAGTCGAACTTCCATTTTCAATTCTTTCGTATTTTCAACATGGACTTGCATCTCCTCTTGTTCCTTCCACTACAAGAAATTAGAGTATTACCGGTGACGGGCGTCGCCGCTAAAGGTCAAAAATGTCGCCGCTTAAGGTATTAGCAGTGATCTGTCGCCGCTAAAGGGTCGCTGTTGTTGGTTCGTTGCTAATGCTCCACTGGTCGCCGCTATTGCCTTGCGTCGCTGCTAAAGGTGTGTCGCCGCTATTTATATGTATTTTTATACAAACAAATACACATGCATACATAATACACATACAAAATACACATATACATACAAAAACACATACACATACAAAATACACATATACATACAAATGAACATACAAAAACACATATACATATATAAAATACACTCAAGATACACATATAAATACAAATGCAAATACAAATACATATTCACATCTAAAAACACAAAATACACATACAAATACACATCTAAAAAATCAAAATTATCAAAATTTTGTCATGAACAGTGGTGGTGGCGGTATACTCCGGCGAGAACGGTGGGGGATCTCAAAATTCCGACAACCAACACAAATGTAGTAGGGAGAAGAGAAAAGGAAAAGAAAAGGAGAAAAAATGGAGAGGAAGAGGGGTGAAATATTGAAGATGTCAGTGAAATTCCGATGAGTTCGACGGTGGTGAGCAGAGAGAAGAAGGGAAAACACAGAAGATCAGGAAAGAAACTGAGGACGCAAAGGATTTAATTGTCGGCGCTCTTTAGCGGCGACGCATTTAGCAGCGACGGGCAGCCTTTAGCGGTGACACATCGGACGGAAAACAATCTAGGGTTTCCTACGTCGTTGGAGATTATCGCTTAAATTGATGGATGGGGTTGAAATGACGCGGATCGCCAGAACATGCAATAGCGGTGACGAGCAGCCTTTAGCGGCGACACACTGGAGGGAAAACAATGCGGAATTTTCTACGTCCTTCTAGTCGTTGGATCATCACTTAAATCGCCGGTTAGGGTTGAAATGACGCGGATCGCCAACATAAGCCTTTGGCGGCGACGGACACTTTTAGCGGCGACAAAAAACGCGTTTGTTTGTTGTCGCTGCTAAAAGTGTCCGTCGCTGCTAAATGTGTCGCCTCTATTGCCTATTATTCTTGTAGTGTTCACTTTACTTTCTACCATACTCTCTAATTCATTTACCTAAAAAAGTTCCCACAAACATCATAATTAGTACAAAACAGACGGAAATAGAACCGTCTTTAACCCTTTATTAAGCAATATGTGTGTGTGTGTAACGCCCCGATTCTCGGGTATTGTTTAAATAAGAATATAATTGGTTTCAAGGCCTACTCGACGAGTTGGTTTCCCTACTCGTCGAGTAGCAACGGGCTTGGTACGCGTGTTTAGTGACCTACTCGCCGAGTCCATGAAGGGACTCGACGAGTAGGAGCTGGCAGAGGAAACCCTAAATCCCGGGGTTTTGCACCCTATTTAAGGAAGCAGAAGCCTCCTTTGGCCTCTTGCAGTCTTTGAGAGCTCAGAAACCCTAATTTGTGTGGTATTTCATTCTTGGGTGTGTAAGCTTTTGGAGAGAATCTTTTGAGAAGAGGAGCTTGGGGAACTAAAGGCTAGGACAAGGAAGTGTGGGAAATCAGAAATCTACCTCAGATAGCATCATGGATGGAGGTATCAAGTCGTCACCTTTCCTCCTTTTTCTTTCTAGACCTCTTTTGGTTGAGACTAGGGTTTTTTATGGTTTGGTTGAGATGGTAATGTAGGATATGAGCTAGATAGACTGAAGTTGTAACTCAGATTTTGTAACCGTCTTGGGTTCCAGAGTCATAAAGCTCCGAATTTGGCCATGTATGAAGCTCTTTGAGTATGAAACCCCCATTGTGAGCTTGGATTTGACATTAAGAGCCTTTTTATCTATGCATGCAACGTAAAGTTTGCAACTTTACGTGAAAAGCAATGCCTAAAGCTGGATCTGTAGTTTGGAGCGCTGCATGGCCAAATGAGTCTGTATGGCAAAAAGATTGAAGGGACTCGCAAGTCGCATGGTCGACTCCCGCGAGTCATAAGAAGATAGGCAGGAATCGGCGAGTTGGAAGAACAACTCGGCGAGTCAATGAAGATGGTCGTAGACTCGACGAGTGGATGAACAAACTCGGCGAGTCGGATGAGGTTGCCCCCAAATTATGTATGCGCGGGTAACTGTCGAGCGCAAGAATGAAGCCGCGACGTGGCCTTAATGGTCTCGATCGTAAGCCAAAGGAACTCGACGAGTCACTCAGGTGACTCGGCGAGTGGGTTAGTACTTCAAGGAACTCGGCGAGTAGCCGGGGGTACTCGGCGAGTCAAGGTCAACATGGACTGTGGAACCATAGACTGATGACTTTGACTTTGACCAGGGTTTGTTTCGTTGGCTTATGGGTATGATTTACTATGGTAATAGGTGGTGGAGTTTGTGGCAGTGATCCGAGGGTTGAAGTTTATCTACCAAGTCGACATCTGCATCCTCACTATATCGATAGGGTCTAAGGCACCAAGGCCGGTCGTTTTAGTTGTTATCGTTATGGTATGCTACATGTGGATATGATCTGTTAGATCAGAATCAGGATAGACAGTATGTTATGCTCTTATGATCCGTAGGGATTGACATGTTAGTGACCTGCTAGGTCAGTGCTCTAGTTATGAGAGATTGTTATGTTTGGTGCTCAGTGAGACAGATATGTTTGATGGTTGTATATGCCAGTATATGTTAGTTATGCGCACATGGTTATTTGCTTGTTGCTTGGGTTGAGGCGGTTCTGCTTGGTGCTGAAGGCCAACACACCCTATGAGCGGTCCGGGAAGACTGTAGACCCACGTGGCGGTCCAGTCATGCCGAAGGCTCAGTATAGATTCAGTTGGACTGTAGGCCCTATAGGGCGGTCCAGTCAGACCGATGGCCCAGTATGCATAATGATTGATTGATTGATTATTACGGATATGGTATTATCAGTGTGATATTGGTATTTTGGGGGTAGCTCACTAAGCCCTCGGGCTTACAGTTTTCAGTTTATTGTTTCAGGTACTTCAGGAGTTCATGGCAAGGCGAAGGCGTGACCGTACCGCTCATCATCCTTATGATCTGGCCTTTGGGACACTCTGATTGAATAATGAATTGAAAACATTTTTGTAAACAATACTATTGAGTTTTATTTATGCTTGAAAAGTTTAAATTTGGCGTAAAATTTTTGGATGTTACAAGTTGGTATCAGAGCCTTGGTTTGAGTGAATTGGGGAAAACACACGTGTGAACCCAGTCTCAAATAAAGGAAATTTTCGGAATAAAATTCTAAAATGGTTTTCAAAATAAAGGATGGAGGATGCCGAGGGTACGATCAGCCGGAGCCTGTAAGTAAACCCCAAAATACTATACAGTTATTG